TTGAAGACGGGTCTCTTGAGTATATACCCCTTCTGCTGTTTCTTGGCTTACAAAGTGCTCACTTACACCTTGCGTTTTGATTTGTCGTTGAGAAATCATCTCTTTTGTATAGGCAATTATTTGTTCAGTATTTTCAAGAATTTTGTCCAATATATACTTGTAATTGAAATATGGACAGAGTTCCTCCATTTCAGTAGTATATAAAGCCATTATTCTTTTGGTGGAGGCTGTATTTAATAACAATCAGTCAATATCCGCTTCCACCCAGCTATACAGCTTGTTTATCTTTCCCTTTTGAAATAATTTGAAGGTCAAAGTCAGACTCAGAGTCTAAAGAAAGGGAATAACAATTGCAGTAAATAATTTCACCACAAGATGTCCCCAGAGGGTTAACAGTTGTTCAGTCTTTCCAGACCCCCAATAAAAATAATTTCTTTCCTCTTTTCCTTTTTTCCTTCTTTTCTTTAGTTATAAAAATAGTAGAAAATAAAAAAAATCTCCAAAATGCTAGCATATTAAGTTTCTATAACAGGGATTTTAAAACTCCCAAATATTCAAAAATAAAATCAACCACTGAAAAAGTTAAAATTAATTTTTCTTTTGTTCCAAGGCTTTTCTTCCCCCATCAACAAAGCCGCTTTAAAAAGATAGGGAAATGATTCCAAGGGCTTTTCACAGGAGTAAATAGGAAAGGGAGAGGCAAGGAAAGGTCTCAACGAATCTTCCACGGTGGTTCTATTTCGCTTAGATGTTCTTGTGGCTTACAGCTGGTGCAGCTAAGTGATCGGCCATTTTACTGACCGATCTTTACTCCGTCGGCCCAAAGGAGCTCGCTTGGCCTGCAGAGGGCGCCGCCCCCCTCTGCAGTCAGACAGGCAGCCTCCTCAATGGTGTTCGCCCCTCCAGGGCGACTTTCGACCCAATCAAGGGTCTACCGGCGGGGGAAACTCAGCCGGCGAAGAGACAAGTCTCTCCGCCCGACCACAGCACTGCGACCCAGGATCGGAAGCCAGGGAAGCAGTTTCAAAGGAATCCACCTCCCCCTCATCTGAAGGAGCTGGTGAGCCAGGTGGTGGTTGCTCTAACACAAAAACATTGTTAGAGGTTCCCTCTCCTTCTTGGGAATTAAAGGCCAGATGTGGAAGGCCCATTGTAGGCAAGTGTGCCACCTTCCTCCAGAGCAATGCAGAGGGGCTGGTTAACCTTTTCCTTGACAGGTTCTTCAGGTGAAAACGGGGGGGGGGCTGGGACCTTGCTCGGCCGTGGCTTGTCAGGAAACCACTGGTGAAACTTCTGAACTAAATCGGGCATGAACATACTGTGTGTTTTCCCATGAATGATCTGCAACAGGGTAGCCTTTCCAATTAATCAAATACTGAATGCCTGTGCCACTTTCCCTAGAATCTAGTATTTCTTCCACCTCGTATTCGGGTTGTCCCTCCAGTATGACTAGTGGTGGAGGGGGTGCTGGGATCATATTGTGTTTGGGGATTTTCTTTGGAGAGTTACACTCAGTGAAATACTGAATGCACCTTCATTGATGGGGGTAATTGGAGGTAAAAGGCTACAGGGTTGATTTGTCAGAGAACTTTGAATGGTCCCACAAATTTAGCGTCTAGCTTCTTGGAAGGTCTTGAAGTGGCCAAGAACTTGATAGAGAGCCAAACCTTGTCTCTTACTGCTATGGGTGGTCCCTCCCACCAATGGGCATCCGCTGTCTTCTTGTAACCTGTTTTACTCAGAATGGGATGACTTGCCACTGCCAACCCACCACCACCAAGTTGCCACAGGACAATGCCACACGGTCAAGTCACTACGGGGACAAGTTGCCACAGGCGGTTAGAGGCGGGTGGGCAGAGTGCAAAACGTGTCAGGGTGGGCAGCAGAGAGGTAGCGGCGGTCAGGCTCTTCCCATTTTCACCCCCTGCCAATGCCGCCACCATTGGGCTCAGCAGCACCTCTGAGCTTGGCACGGCAGTGGCATGTGAAAATGGGAAGCCTCCAGCTGCCGCCACCTCCCCACTGCCTGACCCAATGTGCTCTGCTCTCTGTTCATCCATTTGCCTGCCTTGCCCTCTGGCTGCCCACGGCAAGTTGTCCCCGCGGTGAGTTGGCTGTGTGGCATTGTCCTGTGGTGACTTGGTGGCATTGTGTTGGCAGAGGCGAGTTGGCAGTGGTGAGCTGGCCATGGTGAGCTGGCCACAAGTTGTCCTAGACCCAGTTTTGCTTGGTCAAGCTGCTGTTTCAAAAAGAGAGCCGAACCTTCTCTCCTACTGCTATGGGTGGACCCTCCCACCGATGGGCATCCACTGCTTACTTGTAAGTCTGTTTTGCTTGCTCGAGTTGCTGCTTCAAAAGGTCTTGGGCAGCAAGTTGCTCATGTAAGAAGTCCACTGCCCCTGAGACAGTTGAGTCTAGTGCAGGATGGTCTGGCAACACTTTCAGGTGTGTGCCATACATGGCTTGAAATGCTGTCATTGAAGTCAATGAATGCAGCAAATTGTTGTAAGGAAATTCTGCAAGGGGCAATAATGATGGCCAGTTGGCAGTGAGAAAGGCATTGAGGGCTATTAAAGGCAATAGACTGGTTCTTCCACTTAACAGTGTGATCGTGGTGTTGTAACCAAGCAGTTCCCAGCACCAGTGGAAGATCGATGTGGTCAGCCACAAAAAGATTAAAATGTTTCAGGATGCTGATTTATTGTCAATTGCAAAGGCACTGTAGCATGAGTGATGGGGCCTGCTTTTAAAATTCAGCCAATGATAGTTAACACTGGCAATGTAGACTTCAGAGGAACAGTGGGGATCTTAAGTTTCTGGACTGTGGCTAGGCTTATGAAGTCGGCAGTTGCCTCAGAATCTATCAGAACAGGGATGGTGGTTTCCTGACCACTTGGAAGTGTTAGGATAGCATCAAATTTTATTAAGGTACCTGAGCGTGGAAGTAATTGAGCTCTGTTCAGTGCTTGGGTACCCCCCCCATGAACTCATGGGGGGGCATTTCTCATTTCCTTGGCCTTGAGGCTTATCATCCAGGTGGTGAGTAATGGAGACATTGCTGGGCTGTCTGTTGCCACTTATAGGAGGTTTAGTAGGGCAATTCTTGACCATGTAACCAGGCTCTCCACAATAGAAACAAAGGACAAGCTCTGCATCATTTGGCAGTTTCCATCCAGATAGGGTCTCCAAAATGCTCTCTAAATCTGGTGAGGAAGTTTGAGAAATTATCCAGGATGGGGTCATTGCTTTTGATGAGTGAAAGTGCCAACTAACAGCAGAGTTGATTAAAAGACTCAGGATTAAGGAGACTCTCGATCTGTCTGTCAGAAACTCCCCTGGTCAGGTGTCAATGAATACTTCGCACTGGGCTACAAATATTCTCATCTTATCAGACTCTCTGGTGAATCTCTGTGATAGGCAGCTGGGCGTCTTGGGGATGAGTATGGTAGAAACTGGCAGTTGTGCCTGGGTGGGTGGGGCAGGTGGTTGTGGTTGCAGCGGGAGCCCTTGTGTCAGGATCTTTACTTGCTGTATCAGTTGTTGAAGACTCGCTGCAAAATTCCTCATTTCATCTTCTATGCTATCTTGGTGTCTGCTGATAGACCATATGTCTGGCTCATCCACTGTTGCGGCAGCTCTGGCATCTGAAGCCATGGCTTGCGTATTCCAGAATCCATGAAAATGTTGGTGAAGAGTAGTAGTTCAGATTAATGTCAAGCACTTGGGAAATCAGGAAATCCAGGCAGTTCAAATGAATATAAAGGCTTATGTTCTGTACAAGAATCTATACAAGATATTAACGGTCAAAGCAAATAGGTGGTAGATAAGAGTCAATGGAATTCAAGGTGGCCTGCACTTAGATCTCTTCTGGGCGTGAAGGGACTCGAGACTGATGACGCGCCTCAGGCTCAGCCTGGTCATCTCCTACACCAGTGGTTCTCAACCTTTTTAATGCCGTGACCCCAACCGGTCGTAAGTCGAGGACTAAACTGGTCGTAAGTCGAGGACTTTCCCTGCCCGGGAGCGCCGCGCATGCGTGGTTCCGCCCCCTGCGCTGGCCGAGGCGTAGCTGGCAAGCGGCAGAGACGGAGCAGGCTGACCACCAGCTGGCCCAGCCCAAGGGAGCAGAGGCGTAGCGTGGGGGGTGCAGGGGGGCGGCCGGCGTGGCCCGCGTTGTAGACCCCCCCGCGCGAGCGTGAGCGTCGAGTCTGCCCCTGCCTGGCTCACTCACTCTCTCTGCAGTGCTGGCTGTGCGAATCCGATCCGAGCCGCCGGGTCGCCGCCCACTGTGGAGGGGGGGGGGCGCAAATTACTTGCCTTGCCCCGGGTGCTGACAACCCACGCTACGCCACTGCAAGGGAGGTAAGGCACCCGCCGGAAAAGGGGGAAAAAAATGGCGGACAAAAAAAATGGCGGACAGCCTTGCTTGGCGACCCCCATGAAATGTTTGATCGAACCCAAATGGGGTCCCGACCCACAGGTTGAGAACCACTGTCCTACACAAATGAAAATCAGGAAAAAAACACTTTTAGCCCTGTTGAACTCATGCAGCGTGTCAGAAACATTATGCAATTAAATATATTATAGTCACTGAAAGTTAATTTCATATTTTTCAAGATTCCTATGTGATAGAGTCATTCTTAAATTATATTTTTGTTCAATTTGAAGGGGTGTATCGTAATCACCAAAAGTTTTTTAGGAAGCAAAACTTTTGAAAAATAATCTTTTCCAATGAGATTAACCTCATATTTGAAAACTGTCTGAAACTATGAACACTTTTAAAATTAAAAACGGGGTTCCTCTCAATTATTGCTTAGAAACTAGATTTAGAATTCAGTCCCTTATTTCATAATAGCCAGCTACATTTCCAAAACTTTTAAATTTTTACTGATGTATTCTGATTTACCTACCTAAGGATGTAGAAGGCCAACCACTTCCTTGTGGCATATACAGTATTATTTTATGTTGTCTAATTATGTCCATGTTCTACTTTTATTTAGGCAACAGGAAAGGATAAATTCCCAAAGGGAAGAAATAGAAAGGCAACGAAAAATGTTAGCAAAACGAAAGCCACCTGCCATGGGCCAGGCTCCTCCAACCACCACTGAGCAAAAGCAACGCAAAAACAAGACCAACGGAGCAGAAAATGAGATGTACGTGGCACAAACATTTCAGAATCCTTTTTGAGGCTGTCAAATGCAAGGAGCCTCTTAGATTTTACCCAAGTAGGCCTCCCAAGATTCTACATTTGTGTTGAAATGTCTCTCCACTATTATAAAAGAGATTTCGTTTTTCTTGATGCACGGAGATCAGGTTTCAGATCTCAATTACAAAAGTTACTGTACCAGGTGTAACAATGACCTTTCTTGATGGCTGAATACTAAAAAGTTTAATAATGGTAACATGCTTTGCTGCTTATATGTTGAGTTAGGCAGGAATATCATGCCCAGAGTATGTTGTCAGCAGTAAGTCACTAGTGAGTTTATTAATAAGCCTTTCTGGGATACTATCTTTCATTGGGATAGTCCCTAGTCTACACTTAGTAGGAGGCTGCTCACCAAATGCTGGTAGATGGAGTCCTCGTGACACGATACATACTTTTAAATAAAAATGTCCTGCTTAACTTTTAACATTCCTGGTTAGGAAAGATTGTAGGTGCAAGACATCCTGATTATATTGGGATTCTGCTGTCTGTCAGGCTAGAGGATATTGGGTTTTGTGGACTGAGGACCTCATTTGATCTTTGGCATGCCCAGGCCTACTTTCCCAAGAGTAATAAGACTTGGAACAAAAAGTGAGTGGAACACATTTCAACTAATTAGTGTATTTTAATGCAGCTAATTTATTATTCCTTGTGAATGTAATAATTTTCTATAACAATCAAAAATAGACTTTGGTGGTAACTTTTAGAGGACTCTGAGGGTTGCCTATGGCATCTGGATATATTCCTCTGATATAGGTTACCTTTCTTGGTGTAAGGCACTTCTAATTTTTGAACCACTTATTTTATGTACATATAGGTTAACATTAGCAGAATATCATGAACAAGAGGAAATATTCAAACTCCGACTAGGTCATCTTAAAAAGGTAAAAAGATCCGTTATACTAATTTCAAGTATACATTGAATTATGTTTTTGACTTCCTGGTAATTCTGGTAGAAGGTAATCCTCGAGTTACGAATGTAATGGAGCCTGCCAATTACATTGCCAGCGTGATATAGCAACAGGAGCCAGGCTGGCTTTGCAGTATAAGATGTGCTGGGTTGGAGAAGTTTACGCTCCGAGCAAAGTTCAACTTTAGAGAACACAAGCATGTTCCTTGGCTTTTCCACCCCTTCCTTCTGCCGTTTGAGGACGTTTCTCTCTTCCTTAAATGCTGCAAGTGCCTACCTTCCTTGAGGTAAGCAACATGCTCGCGTCTTACCCCGTGAAGCCAGCCCAGCTCCTGTTGGTAGATCATGCTGGCAATTTTCCGCCACAACTGAGCTGCAGAGAACAGCATACAAAGCCCTCGGTTGGGAATATTTGAAATACTGCAAGGGGAATACCAGCAGCAACTCATTCTGTTTTGCCCATGTAGGAGTCCTCCTCCCTGTAGAGTCCGGCCTCTGCTTTAGAATAGCTCTTTGTCCAGAAGGAGCCTTTTAAATCTGGATTCCCCACTGAGCGAAGGAAAGCAGCCTCGCTCCTTGCAAAAGTGATTGTGCCGCTCACACTGAGAACAGGAAGAAACACTACTCTCTTTGAACTTTGAACCATTGCTAAGTGACCTGTCATAACTTGAGGACTACCTGTAGTTGGTTTTTTATTTCTTTATTGATTTATTTTTGTTTATTCTGTTTCAGAATGTAGATTCTTCTGTGAAACTCTCTGTCTCAAACTTAATAGCTACCTGTTTCTAAACAGAAATATTAGGTCTTAACAGTTGGCATATTTTCTATCTTTTTGTACAAGTTGTTTTCAAAATGTTTAGGAAACATTTTACAAATAGTGTTTGTGAGTATATTTTAATCACAATACAAGGAATTTTGGAAGATTCTGCAATCACTGATAATAAATGAACAAGCTGCTTGCCTCAGTAACCAAAGAAGAAAGAGAACTGCCTGTGCTCTTGTTCTTTTTTTCAGTGCTACTGTTTTAGCCCAGTAACAGGAAACAAAAGCTTTTCCGGCTTCTCAGACAATTTTGTGTTGTAACAACACAGTGCTGTTTGTATTGTGTTCACAAAAGGCTAACCTCCTGATTCATTCTACTTTGCTGTATCAAAGTATCTTGGGATTTTTAGATAGAAGCAAAGGCAGGTATAGGAAGACATGGTAAAGGTATATAAAGCCGTGCAGACGTAAAATATGGATACCTCATAGTGTTAGTACTTGAGCTCACCCATTAAAAGTAAATGCAGGAAATTTTAACACAAACAAAAGTACTTTTTTACACAATGTGTAATTTAGATAGTTTTGAATGGAGTTTGTGATCAATTCATCCAAGAAAAAAATATTTAGAGTGAGATCTTCTCCAAAGGAAAATGGAAAAAGAAAAAGAAGAAAATCCACAACAGTCCCAGTTTCTCATGTGGACCCTTGGGAAAATCAATTGGTCACTCCTGGTCTATGGATAACAAGCAGCCCTGTCCTGGGGCCTCATAGCCAGTAATTCACAGACTGCTGTCAAGCCCAATGTTTTAAATATTTTTTAAAAAACTCTCTTGTCTTTTCATTGACTGTTTACATACTACGACATGTTCCCCTGATTGAAAAATTCTGTGTAAAGGAAAGCTGTTCTGCAGAGTTCCTTGTCAGGCAAACTTGGTTCAAAATCATCAGTATAGCTAAAGTGATATTCTTCTTTGTGCAGGAAGAAGCAGAGATTCAAGCAGAACTAGAGCGATTAGAACGGGTTAGAAATCTGCATATCAGGGAATTGAAAAGGATACATAATGAAGATAATTCACAGTGAGTATTGGCCATAAGAGTGGTGCAAATTACAACCTTGTGAAAGATATCAGCTTGATAAAATATGCTGAGAAATGTTTGCTTAGAATTAACTTTGCTTAGAATTAATATTATTTATTAAATTTATATAGCATCTGACTCCCAGCTACTCTCGTCAGTATATCCTTCCAAGCAACAAGGTGAACAAAACACAGAGGCAAAAGAAAAGCAGGAAAAAATGTGTGTTGTGGTAGGCAGTGCAAGACAATCAAAGAAAGATTGACTGTGTTACAACAGATCCTAACTCGTGTGAAAAAGCAGGTAGTTTTGTGTGAAATAGATTGCCAGTTCACCTGCATGCCCAAATCTTTCTACATATTATAGGCAGAAAATTAAGGAGAAAGTTCCTAACAGTGAGGACAATTAACCAGTGGAACAGCTTCCCTTCAGAAATCATGGATGCTCCATAACTGGAGGTTTTTAAGAAGAGACTGGACAGTCACTTGTCTGAGATGGTATAGGTTCTCCTGCTTGAGCAGGGGGGTGGACTAGAAGACCTCCAAGGTCCCTTCCAGCTCTATTCTATTCTAATTGCTTAAGACCATGTTCTAACCACTATATGGATAAAATATCCTGTTCTCTCCCCATCAGGTTTAAAGACCATCCAACACTAAATGATAGGTATTTGTTGTTACATCTCCTAGGCAGAGGAGGTTTTAGTGAAGTATATAAGGTAAGTTAATCACCTTTCTGTTTTGCTCAGTTAAACAGTGCAGAAGCTAAAGAGTTAGATACTTAGACTTCTGCCTTTCTCTTCTATGGAATCTGTCTGTCTAAGTAGAATTATGTGACTTGAGAAATCAACAGGTTCACGTTGATGAAAGGTATGTCTGTATGCTAATCACAAGTAAATGAATTTTCTTGTGTTTAATTGTAGCATTGTCATTTCATACTCGGATACCAAATTTTTCATGATGTTAAAGTTTTTTAGCATGTCAATCTTCAGAAAATGTCAGGGAATTATTTACTAATTCTATATTCCCTGCGGAAATAGAAGAAGGGGACGACAGAGAATGAGGTGGCTGGATGGAGTCACTGAAGCAGTAGGTGTGAGCTTAAATGGACTCCAGAAGATGGTAGAGGACAGGAAGGCCTGGAGGAACGTTGTATATGGGTCGCGATGGGTCGGACACAACTTCACAACTAACAACAACATATTCCCTACAGTTCATTCACAGTTTCCATAGATCACAAAATTTGCCAAAATAGGAGCTATTATTCATATATATATATATATATATATTCTTCATACACTTTCTTCCAGAAAGGTTCATATGAAAACATGTTACTTTCTTTTGACAGGCCCTCCATTTTATTGAGTAGTTGAAAGATAATTGAGCTATTCTTGTTGGAGTTAAGTCCAACAATGTGCTTACTTTCATTGCAATTCTTCTACTGTGTAGAAGCTGATAAAAAGCCATCTGACTTCCATAGTGTTTTGGATTTTGGATCTTCCATTTGTTTTCCCAAGTCTATATCCCAAGCTTCATTTTGACCTGCAGGGAGGTCACCTAATTCCTAATCCAATAATAATAATTTCTTTTAAATTATTTCTTTAGGTGCTGGTGGGGTAATTAATTATTATTTTCTCAGAATGTATTAAGCAGTGAAATGCTGGATCTCTTACATCCTTCTTATTAAAAAAAATATTTTTGAATTATTCATGTGGATCAAGAAAAGAATCACAAATAGGTTGTCAATTATCTCTTCCTTGTTACATATATTATAAAAATCTGTTACCCTACAAAGGTCAAAGTGTCTTCATAACTTTAATGTAACTGTCCTATGTTGAATATAAAATCCTGAATATATTATTAACAGTGTTGGGGAGGCAATATGCTCCTACATACATTCAGAGATACTTGAAACAGGTTGCTTGATAATAGAATTTTCAAAATGGAACTCATTTCCACCATCTTCCCTATTTCTGAGACCTATAAAGAATCTATTGACTCATAATCTTTTAGTATTAAAGCAAGAAGTTTACTTTTTTCTTTTTCAAAACAATACTTTCTCTGTAATTTCTACTGTAAGAATTTGAAATAAATAACTTTGGAAGAGCCATGATTTTAGCTGTCTCAGTTCAAACCATTATATTTAAATATTCCTTTTCCATTTTTTATTTTTTTTCTCCAAACGGGAATAGTTTTTATCAAGTAATTTATTAATTGTTGTAATATTTATGCCTAAATATTTAAAATATTTATATACTATCAATCTACTTAAAATATTACATGCCTCTGTTTTTAGAAGTGTAAGAACAATCATTTGTGAATGGTTTTAAGCTGAATATTTTTACAAATTTTTCCAGCTCTGTTCTAATGTATTTTGCTGACTAAATAAAATTTGAAAAAGGTAATTCCATATACTGTATACTCATGGGTAAGCCAAGAATTTTAGATGCCAAAATATACCCCCAAAATTGGATTTGGCTTATCTGCAGATGGGCTTATATGGGAGTATATACATTATATCATCTGCAAATAAATTCAAGTCTTATTTCCTATTTTTATCCCTTTGAATTCCTTGTTACTCTGAACTACTACTATTAAAGGTTTTTATAACAAAACTAGGGGGTTAATAGGCAGCCTTGCTTACTACCTCTTGAAACACTGGATAAATACCCAGTTTTAAACTTTTATATGAAACCAATTTTTGACTTTAGCATTTTAAGTATTTCTAGTCAACAAAAGTTAAACATTTAAGTGTTGCTCTGATTTCTTTCTATAAAAATATAAAATATACAGTATATTTTATAAAAATATGCTGCTCAGAAGTCGCTGTATCAGTAAGATGGGCGGCATAGAAATTTAATAAATAACACTATAGAAACGTTTAGCATAGTACATATTAAAGTACACAAAAATACAATTCATAACTGATCTTTTTCATAATTTATTTAGAGATGGCAGTCTTTGTGGTGTTTTTGCCTACTTACTAGCTATCATTCTCTTTCAGGCATTTGACTTAACAGAACAGAGGTATGTAGCAGTAAAAATTCACCAGTTAAATAAAAACTGGAGGGATGAAAAGAAAGAAAATTACCACAAGTGAGTATTTCTGAGTATTTGATTGCAGGGTATATACAGGTTGTCCTCAACTTACAACAGTTCATTTAGTGACCGTTCGAAGTTACATCACTGAAAAAGTGACTTATGACCCTTTTTCACACTTACGACCATTGCAGCATCCCCATGGTCACGTGATCAAAATTCAGATGCTTGGCAACTAGTTCATATTTATGACCGTTGCAGTGTCCCAGGATCATGTGATCACCTTTTGCAACCTTATGACAAGCAAAGTCATTGGGAAAACTAGATTTGCTTAACAACCGTGTTACTAACTTAACTGCAGTGATTCACTTAAGAAAGGTCATAAAATGGGGCAAATTCACTTAACTGTCTCACTTAGCAACAGAAAATTTGGGGGTCAGTTGCAGTCATAAGTCGAGGACTACCTGTATAGGATAAATGGGTATATTTTTGTATTAACTTGTGTTTTAAGTTTTTATTGAGAAGGTCATTTATAACTTGTAAATGGAAATATAGTTAAAAAAATGTAAATACAAATTTTGTTTCTAGATACTGTCAGGAGCAAGCAAGCAGAGCCACTTGTTAATAGCAAAAGTCGGTAACTTTGTTGTTTACCATCTATGTTACAAGAATCTCACCAGACTGCGTGCCTTGGGGGAGGTCAAGCTTATGCCACTTGCAGCTGCGCAAGGACTCCAAGCTAGGCCCTCACTTGACCACTCCTTCCAGCCTAGCTGGCAGGTTCCCAACAGTTACTTTTATATGAAAAACATGAAATGTCTGTTCCCTGTGAGTCAAAAATTAATCACTGTCCATTTCTGCATAATAAATGGTTGAAAGTGAGCATCTGAAAAAAGGGGTAAAAGCACTATAAAGATAGTCCTCGATATTACAACCCTTCATTTAGCAATTGTTCAAAGTTACAGTGGCATTGAAAAAAGTTACGGCTGTTGTAGCATTCCCACAGTCACATAATCAAAATTTGGGCACATGGCAACTGGAATGTATTTACGACAGTTGCAGTGTCCCAGGGTCATGTGATCACCATTTGTGACCTTCCCAGCTGGCTTCCAACAAGCAAAGTCAATAGGGGAAGCCAGATTCTCTTAACAACTGTGATTCACTTACCAACTGCAGTGATTCACTTAACTGTGGCAAAAAAGGTCATAAAATTGGGCACAGCTCACTTAACAACTGCCCTGCTTAGCAATGGAAATTCTTATCCCAATTGTGGTAGTAAGTCAAGAACTGCCTGTATTCAAGGGCAACTCAACAAGCAAATGAGATTAGTAAAAGGAATTTGTCTGGAGAAAGACACAAGGAACAGAGAGTGACCAAAGGTACTGTATACTCTGAGAGACTGTGGGTTGAAAAGATTATCTGGTGAATAGTTGCTGATTGCCTGTTGTGGGTGATTATGTACTGTAGGCATGCGTCACGCCGAAACCGCACCCACCCCATTGCTGGCAATGGGGAAAAAGTCCCGATATGTCACGCGACATCACGTGATGTCGTGAGTTTGACATGCCTGATGCACTGTAATTGCTTCCTGCTGAGTAAGCAGAGAGTGTAGGAGGAATGTAAGAGAGCTGTGTTCCACAGAGTATGTTCACTGAGTTAACAGGAAGAGCTACCTGTAAAGTTTGATGGGGGAGTCTCTAATCAAATTTCTTATTAGCAAACAGACTAGCACGAGAATTTGAGAAAAGAACAAGAAGAAATAAATTCTTTCTACTAGTAGTAGCTTAATACACTGAAGTGAAGATGAATGGACAGGACTCTGCTGCCATGACCTGTAGTGCTTACATTTGGCATGTTCACATTTGTGTCTGAAAACCATCCAACATCTATTTTCAGCAAGGGCAGACTTCTAGCAGTATTTGAAAAAGATCTTAGAAGACCAGAGCAGTGATAATTAAGCTGATAAGAGGGAATGAAGTCTTTCTAGATCAAAGAAAAGAAGTAATACAATAGGATCTGATAGAGGAAGCAGGTCTCAATGAGCAGAACAGCCAAATGAAGAAGCAAGATAAAAGTGACAACCAGAATCAGTTGATGCATAAGATTTTCTGCACATCTCAAATCCAGAAACAGCTTTAAAGGATTTAGAGATAAAACAGGCTCCAGGTTTTCAATGAAAGAAAAAGATATACTGTGGAAAGGGAGACAAGATGGAGGATCTTGAAAAGATAAGAGGATCTTGAAAAGATAGGAGGTATATAGCTCTGCTCACAAGAAAAAGAGAAGAGTTGTGATATTTGTTGGGTCACTGTTAGGAGTAATTAAAACAAGTGAGCCCATCGGCTTTCAGAGTATGTTACCTGCCAGGACATCGATCAGGGATTTGATAGAACAGCTACCAAAATTTACAAGTGTATTGATAATAAATTTCTTCCTACTAATCCAAGTGGGAATATAGTTGCAAAGAATGACTACAATTGTATCACCATTGGCTTTGAAAATCTAGAAAGAAAATTCAAGAACTTGGGACTCAAACTTCTTTTCCATTCTGAAAGAGGACTGGAAAGGGAAAGAATACTGCCAGGTGGATGCCTGGTTATGCAGATTGTGTTGACAGAGATTTGGTTGCTGGGACCATCATCAGAGTTAACTGTGGAATGGGCTACCAGTATGAGAGGAATTGCATTAATATATTTTGCTGAAAAAATGTGAATTTGATCATCTAGATCGGATTCAATTGGAGGTTGATGTATAGAACATGCCATTGGTTTTATTTGATCCTGCTGAGATAAATTATTCTCCTAAATTTTTGCAGATTTAGTATTTTACATCTTTATTTTTAATATGTGTTTCCTGAAGACAAATTATATACTGTTTTAATTTTTTTAGGTAGTGAAATACTTTTTTCCTTTTTTGGGTTGAGTTGGCTCCATTTATGTTCCAGGTTAAACATCTGTATTCCATAGTTAATGAACTATTTTTGAAAAGTCCATGCCTATAGCCTTCAACTCATCATTTTTTCTTATTTCCAGCTGATCATATATTTGTTTCTCAATTTGTGTCAGCATTTTCTCCTCCCTTCCTTTCTGGGTCTCTTGTAATTCAGTTTTGTATTTCTCAACAAATTATCTGGCCTTTTGTACAGTCTTCTTAACTTCCTCTTTTACCACTTTGGGTGTCGTGGGAGGTATAAAGTTCTGGTTCTTGCACTTCTGGCGGCCTCAACCATTGTTATTTGATGCTGTTGTGTGTCTTTGATGTCATCTCTCCATCTTCTTCTGGGTCTGCCTCATGTTCTTTGGACTTCTCCTCTTTTTGTATATGCCTTGTATGTTATAGAATCCCAAGACATTCTTTCCAGGTGAGCAAACCACTTAACTTGCTGTCTTTGCATGTAGTTTTAAGATTGGTTCTATTCCAGTTGTTTCTCTTATCTCATTTTTTATTTTATCCCTTCTGATCTCTGGCAGCTTTCCTCAAACGTTTCATTTCTGTGGTGACTAACTTTCACTTATGTTTTATTGTAAGTGTCCATGTTTGGCACTGGTAACATAGGGTGGGGATGAATATGCTTTGTATGAGATGAAAAAAATACTTTGCACAGTATTTAGTCTAAATCTTGTTTGTTGGAGGGTAAATTCTATGCCTTCTAACTTTTCCCAGCGGAATGAGATCTTTTTTTGTTTTAATATCTCACTCAGGAAAGAGTAATCTTTTCTTTTATGTAGGTTTCTAATAGGAATTTCTTTCAAAATAATTACATCTGCATTGTAGATTTTAAATTTGGATTTGAAGTGACATTGGAGGATTTGTTGTCTTGTTACTTTCCTTACAAAATGCACCAACACATATCTTGGAACCTTTCTTATTGTGTATTAAGAGTAAGTTCTATATATTTTGTCAATCTCTTTTTGGAAATCTACTTGCCAATCAAGGAAAACAGCCAAGGCTTGGGTCACCTTTTCCTGGATGTTTTCATCTGGGTCCTCTGGGATAGCTAAGTATTTTATTTTATTTTTACAAATTTTTATTTTATTTCCAAAGTTAAAATATAAACTAAAGAGAAAAGAAGAAACAAACTAACAACCACCAGACACTAATAATAAAAATAAAAAACAGGTGTACAAAAAGAAAAAAATAACAAATGACGACTATATCATTCATACTGACATTAAACATAAAAAGTCCACCCTGGTTGAATGCTGAAAAATATATTAAAAATATCTGATGCATTTTCCTCCCCTTACATAATGGGGCTAATTATAAACTTTCCCATCCATATTTAATAGTGAAAAAGCATCTTTGGGATAACTATGACCTGGATGACTGAGAATCTCCATAGACCAGGGGTCCCCAACCCCCGGTCCATGGACCAATATCAGGCCGCAGCATGCCAGCAACCGGTCTGCACAAACAAGCAAAGCCCCATCCACGAGATGCAGGCAGCACACAAAACCATGCACCCTTCAGTCCGCGGAAAAACCTCTCTCCACGGAACCGGTCCCTGGTGCCCAAAAGGTTGGGGACCTCTGCCATAGACAACTGGAAAACCACCTCCACTGCTGAACGAAAGCTAAAGCCATTGCTTACAGACATGAAGCAAGGTGGCTAAATGTGGAATTCTGACAAAGTTAAGAAAGATAAATTACTGGAAAGAGCACGCCCTGGAGTTAATCGACCTCGACGTTTTTATGCAAGCCTTGTGAGAGCATTTCAAAGACCGTCTTGCAGCCAGGTGTGCAGAGAACCACATCTGAGCCATTAAGCAGGGGAAGCAGCCAGTAACAGAGTACATTCAAGACTTCCGCCAGCTGGCCAGCCACCTGGGACACTGGCCTGAACGCCTGTTAATCACCCATTTGCAAGAAAAAAGACAGGTCACTTAGGATGTGCGTGGACTACTGTGGATTAAACGCAATTTGCATGGAAAACATTTACCCACTCCCATTAATGAAAGATATGTTGGAACACCTTGCCAAGGGGAGGATTTTTACAAAATTGGACTTGAGAGGCATATTATTGAGTGAGAATGAAGAAAGGCAATGAGTTGAAAACGGCATTTAATTGCCCGTTGGGTTGTTACCAGTT